GCAGGAAACTAGATATGGCATGTTGCGGAAGGATCATGCAAGGCTGCTAGCTAGAGCAGCATTGGCCGTTCTGTGACCATCATCACTGCTAGAATTAGGGGTGGGCATCGGTACAGTACCGTACCGTACCGTACCAATTTTAAATTGTACCGATTATATTCAGTTCTTTAGTTTTGTACCGAGTACCGGCCCAAATATGTTTAATCGGTACATTATTTGGGAATCGGTACTCGGTATTTGTAAAACAGAAACCAAGTACTGACCCAATGTGTACCGGCTACAATTAGTCCTATTAGATGGTACAATATCAACCTGTGTTATTGTGATTATATTTAACTAAATTACTTTTTAAAATTGTTAAAACTAGCAATATAACATTACTAAATTACTTTAATAAATCTTCTTATATGTAAAAAAGCTGGTATAATAGATAAAAAAAATTATTCTCAACACTTTAATCAATGTTGCTACAAACATGATAGCCAAAAATCTATAAACATCCATTGTCCATGAAATAAGTCATTAATTCAACACCTTATCAATTTTGCAATTGTGGGAAACAAAATCAGTAGTAGGAGTATTTATAGCAACAACTAGCAACATTTGCAGCAAAAAGTAACCCAAAAAACAAATCCAAAAGCAATATTTATAATAACAGCCAACAGCATTTACAAGCTTGCAGCAACAAGCAACCCAAATAGCAACAGCTAGTAGCATTTGCAGTAATAAGCTACCCAAAAACCAAATCCAAAAGCAGTATTTATAGCAACAGCTAGTAGCATTTGCAACAACAAGCAACCCAAAAAACAAATCCGAAATTTCACATGCACAGCAGCAAATGTCAACCATCTAGAAGTGATGAACGTAACTTCTTCCTATATTCTGCAAATCATGAAATCCAATAATAACATTTAGCCAAAATAACATAATTTTTAAAATCAGAATTTAAATGGTGGACAATTTATTTTTAAAAATATTAAACTTACCTACTTCCGCTTCCTCTAATTCATCTAAATCCTCACAATCAAGAGTAATATTGACATGTTTTCTTTTTTTCCTTAGCCAATCTTGTGCGCATACTAGAGCTTGTGCCATCTTAGGAGTTAAGGAACTCCAAAAGTCATCTAACGCATGACCACTTGTGCTGAAAGTTGATTCAGATGCCACTGTTGAAACTGGAATAGCTAAAATATCTTGTGCCATTGCTGCAAGAACAGGAAATCTCCCACTCTTGAGCCTCCAAAATGAAAGAACATCATAAAATTGAGCATCATTTTCCATGATTTCTAATTTATCTTTGAGATAGATGTCAAGCTCTGATTGCTCATTCTTTTCCTGAGTTGCCTCTGATAAATATCTTTTGAATCTCTCAGTATCCTTCATCCCTTTCTTATTTCTTGGTTCACTTTGGCAAGAAGAAACGTTGCCATTCCTATTTGCCCTTAAGCTTGCAACACCACCAAGACCATTCCCACCACTTTGTTTAGATCCAACAAGGTGATTAAGGTTATTTTGATCAGGCCCTTGCCCCCCACTAGAACCAGATGTGGCATTTGTGCTATTACTACCACAATTCTCATTCTGATTTTCTATTTCAGTCTTGTAAAAATCAAACAACTTTCTCAATTCAGCTTCAATCCAGCATTCATATTCTTTTGCTTTTCCTTCCTGCTCTGGATACAAATCCCCAAGAAGGCAATTTAAATATCCCATTTTTTTACTAGGATCCAACACCACCGCAAAAAAAATGCTCTTATTCATTTTTGTTGGATCCCCCCAATATTTTGCAAACTTCTCCTTCATGTTCCATGCCACAGCAGCTAAGTCATCCTCTTTGGAGCTTTCCCATTTGTTTATAAGAGTATTAATCTCACACAATTCATGTAACAATAAATTAATAGTACAATACCAACTCCCACTCACCTATAGGATAAAAATCATGTAAAATAACACTTTAAAATATGCCAACAATTACAAAAATTAATTAAAAAGTGATAATAGCTAGCAAATCTTTTTTTGGGTTAAAACTTGTTTATGATTGTTATTCCACAACTCTGAATCTCTAATCAGTTTGGGTCCATTACCTATTTTCAAAAAAATAAAAAATAAAAAATAATCAGTTTGGGCATTAATGCAATAGGCTCACAAACGGGGACGAGCTTATGGCTGGATCTTAATTTATTAAGACTATATTTTGGCTACTTGAAGACAATACATATTTTTTAAGACAGTGCAATTTTTTAACAAGACAGTGCAAATTTATTACTAACATAAACACACAACTTTCACAAAAAAAAAAAGGGGCAGGACAATATACCAAAGCAGGAGAATTAATGGTCATATCAAGAGCCATAAATCTTCGAAATGATCCAGAAACTCTAGCAGAACCTTTTAGAAAGTTTAATGCCAGAAGAAATCATAGGAGGACATCGGTAATATCTAACTTGGTTTTAATTTCAAAAACAGCTTTGGAATTCGATAGCAAAACAAAAGCCAGAGGAAATCAACTCACACTCACCCATAGGAAAAAAGATCTTACATTGTTAAAATTAAAAGCAACTTCAAGTCTTCAACAATTGAATTTAAATATAAACTTAAAATGTCAAAATTAGAGAATGACTTTTGTAACTCTAGATGAAGAAAAAGTCAAGAAGCTTAAAATCACAATGAAGGGAAAAAAATTTCACAAAATAAGAAATTAAATTTATTTAAAACCTCATTTACTAAAATTAAACTTTACCTTCAAAGTAAACAAATAGAAATGCTCAAGGAATCTAGTTAGTCTTCTGATGTTTTCCCAATCCTCAAAGTCTGGAATTCCA